GGCCATTGAAATGGCATTCTGGTCTCTCCTCCTTTCTGTCTCTGTTTTCTTTCCCAGCTCTAGTGTACTTTATTCCCCTCCACCCTGTCTTCCCAGTAGCCCCCTGGGCACTGCAGTGGTCCTGATCCCTGGCAGATAGCCGCACTCATCTTTGGCAGAGCCCTGAACCTCCTCTCCAAAGAGTATATGGGCACTGCCCTGGCCAGCTCATTGTTCATTATTCCAAGTCACTGGGATTTAAGATTAATACTGCAGCAGCCTGGATTGGCTCAACACCTTCAGGGTTACTGAACATTGTTTACAAAGACGAGGAAGCAGTTTAGATGGGCAGTCTTGGCACTGGTGTTGGCGCTGTGCCTGAGCTAAGGCCTTTCTTTCTTATCATGGAGGCCCTAGAGACACCGCTCGTGTAGCCCAGATGGACTCTTGGCTTTGTTTGGACCTGTCCTTGCAGTTTGAATCACTGTGCAAACTCGTGAACTATGAGGCTTACTGTGATTTCTTCCACTGTTCTAAGGGTGACATGACCAGAGGATAGTGACGGGTGGGATGAGCTGGGTAAGGAGTCATTAAGTAATTGTTTGGAAAATGCCATTGTTCTGACTCTCTAGTAGAACCTCAGCGTGCAGAACTAACATCCCTCCATTGGGATCAAGCACAGGTTGAACCCTGCACTGCAGCTGCCAGTGGATGGGACACTATTCTGGTCTAGGGGGCCCAACATGGCCTCTGTGAATGCAGAGTTAACACACTGAAATAGGAGGAGTGAGGAAGGAGAATGGTAGCTAAAGGGGAGTTAGAACAGCCATTCAGAAGCTTCGGGATCCAGGTGATATGAGTGGTACTGCAGAATTCCCCGTGGAGAAGTCGGGAGTCTGGGCTGGAGCTGAAGGATTGTGGAGTTGAGGAGAGGAATGGGATAAGACCATCAGATTTAGCAAGAAAAAAAAAATACATGTCCCATGCTGTGTGTGGATGTAATCAAAGTACTCTTCATCATGCACTGAAATTCAAATGTAAATGACCACCCTACATTTATGTACCAACCCCAATGTGGGAGGGTTTTTAAGCAGAAGGCATATGTGCAAATCTGAGTGTGGAGGGGTGCCAAGTGGGCTGGTGTTTGGGCAGAGGTGGAAGGGTGGCTGGGCATGGGGCAGGATCAGCAGATGGTGCTTTGTTGCACCTTGGGGCAGATGTGCTGGCACATATCTGTGGGCACACCATGTAGTGCATACTTCTTACTCCCAACCATGATGATAGCATCATTATCCAGAGCAGATTATCTGTGATGAAAAGAAACAGGACTGATGGAAAGCGAATGCAAAAATATGGCCCAACTTGAGAGTTTGTCCCTAAGGCAAAAAGTATACTTGCATGGGTTGAGAACAAGTCATCTGTATCCCATCCTGGGTGTTTTTCACAGTGGGGCAGGTTCTACACCCTTCACGAACTCCCTGGCTTTTCTCTATGTGCTGGGACAATTTTGGGGGCTTAAATGTATGTTTGTCTGAGGTTGGTCAGAACCTGGCTGTCAACTTTCAAAAGTCCAGGTTCAAATCTTCAAGAGTGGTTTGTTCTGGTGTGGTTTACTTACTTGGTCTGACAAGTTTATTAGCAGAACAGAAGCCAGAGCCCAGGTTTCAGGTCTCAATTTTTCCACCATTGCTGGGGCTTCTCCAGGTCAGTTATTTAAAAATCCAGGTGTAGGCCAGGTGCAGTGTCATATGCACGTGGTCCTGGCTACTTGAGGGGCAGAGACATAGGCAGGGAATTGCTGTAGCCCAGGAGTTTGGGTTATCCTGGTCAACATAGCAAAAACGCATACTTTCCGGCCATACCAGGGTTTGTATTTGAGAATACCTGGTTGGGACCACAAGTGGAAGTGTTTATTGGGATCCATCAGTTAGCACTTGACAACATACTTTTTATAAAGATTCTTTTTACACACCAGTCTATTAATTTAAAAAGTAAAGCTGAAAGCCAGGAATGGTGGTGCACATTGTGATCGCAGTACTCAGGAGGTGAGTTTGAGGTCAGCCTGGGATACAAAAAATTTAAAAATAAAGCTAACTGGAGCTTGGGAGGCTCCATGGGGTACAACTCCTCCCTTCCCCTCTACCTGCCTTCCTTCCAAATATATTAAGCATTTGCTGTGTGTCATACGCTACCATAGACACTGGGGCTACATCAGTGAGTAAGAGTGAAATCCTAGGGCTGGTGGATGGCTCAAGTGATAGAGCACCTGCCTGGTCAAGCATGAGACCCTGAGTTCAAACCCCAGTACTGCCAAAAAAAAGAAAGAGTAAAGTCTTTCCCAGGACATCTGGTCAGAGAGACAGACAACAGATCAATAAACAAGTCATTTCAGGTAGGGTAAGTGCTGGGAAGAAATTTTTGAAATAGTTTTTATCAGTGGATTAACCTCTCATGGATTGCAGTCAAGCCACTTCTTGTTTATGTTGACACAAAGTCTTGTCTAGCTCTGTTGCCCAGGCTGGTCTTGAACTCCTGGGCTCAAACAGTTCTGCCTCAGCCTCCTAGGTAGCTGGTACTACAGGAACATGCCACCATGCCCGACTGGAAAACCAAGTCTCTTTTATGCTAAATCCTATTTTCTTGTCAGCTTGGCTGGTGAGAAGGGGTACTGACTGGCTCTAGGCAGAACAGAGGTTTAGAACTGACTTCTTAGCCTGGTGTCATTGGCCTGTAATCCTAGCTACTCAAGAGGCAGAGATCAGGAGGATCACAGTTTGAGAGGCCAGCCTGGGCAAAATGTGAGATCCTATCTCAAAAATCACATACACACACAAGGCCCTGGGTTCAATCCCCAGCACTGCCAAAAAAAAAAGTTTGAAATAGCATGGTGAATTCGAGTATAGGCAGTCTGGGGTTGCCATTTGAGAAGAGATGACAGAAGTGTTGGGTACAGTGGAGGAGGGTAGGAGTGTTACCTGTGCATGCATTTCCCTATACGGATGGCACAAATAACCTCACGGGAGCCTTGATCATTGTATGGGTTTTTATGATCTCCACTTCATAGGCAAGGAGGCCAGGTGTTAGTAGAAAAGTAAAGTGACTTGCCTGGACCTGAAGGCCTCTTTGTAGGTAGGGGTGTCTGGAAGCCTAATTTCGGAACCTCAGCCAGATAAATGGTGAGATTCTAGGCAAAAATGAGCCTAAAAGGTAAACTTAGGTAGAAGCCCAATAGTATAAATAGAGATCCTTGGAGACAGGCTGCAATGTGAGAGGTGGCACACAGGTACCCAGGGTTATTTCACTGGGCCTATGACACCCAGCCAGACCACCTCCAGAGCCAGCTGCCTTGGAGGAGCTATTGAACCCTCCTTTCTGCAGCCAGGGCTTCCTAGGTGAGGGTTTCTGAGGCCATAACTAAGCAGCAGTGGGGTCAGGAAGGAACTCTTTTTCACCAGAGTGTGCCTTTGGCACACAGTGCCCTTCTCCTTAGGAACTAGAGTTGCAGAGTAGAGGAGCCCTTGGAAGTCAACCAAGCCCTGGATTGGAGTTCTCTCTCCACTACTCACTGCTTATGTAGCCATTGCTCCCTAGCCCTCTATTCTGTAAAATGGGGTGATGCATGCTTACTTCACAGCTTTCAAGTAGGAGCATGCTTTATGTATGGGGGCCCAGCATAGTGTGTGGTACACAGCAGGCACTTGGAAGAGGTGGGGTGGATGTTATCACCAAGGCTAGCTCTGAAAACAGCCCCATCTATGTGTTGGTTGGGGAAGGGTGTGTACGCATGGAGGAGGTTCTGAAAACAACACACATGGGTAGTGGTGTGTGTATCTTATCTCCTTGGGGACTGTTCTTTTTGCAAGAGACACCATCTCCCTGAGGCCAGAATCTCTGTGAGCCTCCAAAACTCAGCTCTCTGTGCTCAGGTTATGCCCTGAGGACAGCCGAGTGCCTGAGAAGCCCTTGGAGACTGGTTGTCAGATCCCTGGACACAGGTTGTCTCTGGCATCAGTGCCTTTGTTCCCTTTCTTGGAATGATGGTAAGGGACCTTGGGAGGCACATGGGGCCTATTGTTGCCACTACCTCCCCCCCACCACCCGCTGGTTGTCTTTGCTGTGCAGTTTCTCTTTTCCTCCTAGGAAGAGTTGTTGGTGCAGTTGGCAGCCCCTCGCCTGGCAAAACTATAAGTAGAGGCCCCCATAAACCAGGCCATGAAATGAGAGAGTCAGCACATGGAAATACAGCGTGGAAAGTGACTCAAGCCTAAAGGAATTTGTTTCTGAAAGGGCTGCCGTCCCTTCCTGGAATATTTTGTTGGAAATTGATGTTTGAGTTGGGAGGAGGCAACCCCAGCCCGTGCATTTGTAGGACCATGGTCAGAACTGGCAGCATTTTCCCTGGGGTTCGGTCCCACCCACCTGTGACCATGGGCCTGTCCTTAGTAAGCAAAGCAGCCCAGGTAGGGCTACTAGAGGTGAGCCAGCTGTGCTGTGCTGTGGGGAGCGGGGGTACAGCCACCTTTGCAGCAGATATGGCTGACTATATGAGCCAGCCTGGTAATGCTTGGCCAGAGGCCTGGAAAGTGCTGGAAACTCCACCCAGCTTGGGAGCCTGTGGGAGTTCTCTTACACGGATGGGTTATTCTTTGAGTTCTTTGCATTCCTGTATATTTGAGATGTTTGCCTTCCTCTCAGGACTTGAGCTTGTACTTTGCCCACCAGAGACCAATACCAAGCACACATATACTTACATTTACTAGACCACCCTGGCAACCAGGTAATTAAAGCTGCACACAGGTTTTGGAAAGAAGACTGTGCTGGAAATCATGCTCTACTGTAACTCAAGACCAGGTTTCTTTATAGAGGGACACAGTTGGTGTCAGGCACACATGGAAAAGAAAAGAACAAACCTATAATTTTGGCAGAGCACCAAGGATATACTGCTCACCATTCAGGTGGCTGAACCTGAATTTGAGGTGTTATTTTAACTGTGTTTCTACCTGTTCCTTTCTTTCTGCCAGGTCCCCAGTCTGTGTGAAGATCTCCTATCTTCTGTTGACCAGCCACTGAAAATTGCCAGAGACAAGGTGGTGGGGAAGGATTACCTTTTGTGTGACTACAACAGAGATGGGGACTCCTATAGGTGAGCTTATGCCCAGGAGTACCTCAGGGCCAACCATTACCACCTGCTGTGGCAGTATAAGGAACTCTGGACTTTTGACAAGCTGGTAGCTCACCCACTCATCTTTCTGTTAGTCCTTCTTTCTTCTCTTCTGCCTCCTTCCAGCTGATCATCCAATCCACCAGTAGGTGTTTGTGGAGTGTCTCCCATAGCATGGGAGATGGAGCTCTCCTGGATCTTACAGTCTAATGGGAGAAGAGCAGCAGTTCCCTTGTAATTGCATGGTCCTGCAAGGGGAAAGCACAGGGTGTGCCGATGATGGGGATCCTGCAGACAGGGAGGGTCTCTGTGGGTAAGGGACACTTAGTCCAGCTCTGTCAGATGTGCACCTCTCCTTTCTCTTCCATCACCATACTGGGCACTGTAAATAGCTAAGTTGACATCATTCATCTCTTCTCTGGAAGTTACATTCAGTAAGTGATGACTGTATGATGTGACCCATGCAGTAAGTGCAGAGCTAGTTTAGTGTCTGGGAGTGACACAAAAGAGACTGTGGTCAACTCCAGGAGGCATTCCTGAAGAAGGAAATGTGTAAGCTAGGTTTTTAAGGATCTAGGGAGTTTATTCCCAAGAATGGGAATCCCGAAAGCAGCCTGGTATTTCCTTGGTGGATTGCTACAGTCACCCCCTGGAGAATGGTGGAGAAACTCCATGTGCCTTAGGTTTATTAGAGGCCACACGACCTGGACTCCATCCTGAAGTTTCAGCCCAGTGTGAGAAGCAGAAACAGAAAGAATGGCTTGGAGTCAGCTAATGTGGGCTCAAAACCAATGCTTTCCCTTTTTACCCTGAGACTTTGACAAATCACTCATTATCTCTGTCAATAAAATGGAAATAATAGTAGTCATTCATTCATCAGAACACACAGAGTAGCATCTTTCTATAACAGTGTGCTGTGTTCCATTGAGAGTAGGAGATGAGAGGGGCATGGCAGAGAAGGGGCCTGCAGGGCCATGAAGGCCAGGCAGAGGCTTACTGGGGAGACTAAAAGAAATACCATATAGGAAATGGTGGACAACACAGAGCTTGTCATGTATTTAAAAGGTTTAATTAATACCAACTTTGTGAGAGACTAGAAAACTTTTAGGATAGTGGCCCTTTCCTTCTTCCAGTGGTAGTTGGGTAAGGAATAATAGACGAGAGACTGGAGTAGAAATGCAGGTGGCAGTGTGATCTGAAATAGGATTTGAGATACGTGCCAGCAGGTGTGTGGTGTATGGAGTGTGGATGAGGACCTGCCTGAAAGGTGAGGGCAGAGCATTGGGTCTGAGCATTTGGGAGGCAGAGCCACTATGGAGGGAGGAAGACTCAGGGAGGAGTTGGTTTGGGGACACTCTCAGCTTAAGGCATAGTTCCCAGAATGAACTCTAGGCTGGAGGCAGGACTGCAGGGTCCCAGCATAGAGTCTATGATGCAGCCCTGAGCATATCAAGTTCCCTCGGGACCTCCAGGTGCCAACCATCCTTCTTGGGTGCCTCTCAGGAAGTGGGTGAAATAGCCTACCCTTGGAGAGGGAAGTCCTTTCCAGGCCAAGGGCAGGATGCTCAGAGAACACCCTGACCAGGCCTAGGGCCCAGATAAGGCTTTGTTATTTCCAGTCAGCACTGTTACTTTTCTTCACCTGAACGCTCCATATAACAGAGCTATTCTGTGGGAACCTGTGGAAGAATGGGATGGTGTCTGTGTTGGGCTTAGGCCTGTCTCCCTTGAGACCATAGCCCCTCTAGTGAAGGCCCTGCCTGCACTCCTGAGGCACCAGGGAGCCCCAGAGATCTGAGCTTTGAAAAGAAACATGGCGTCAAGGCAGAGAGCTTGTCTTTCTTCTTGCCCCTTCTGGATATGAAACTTCAAGGTCTTCTGATTTTCTCCACACATTTCCATCCTGTGTTTGATCCTTTGCTTAAATAAGATCCTTATGGTATGACGGTTGCCAGCAGCACTGCTTGAAACCTGTTAGCTGAAACAAAAAGCCTTCTGGGGAAATGAAAGGCCTGACTTTTGAAATCTAAGCGTTCCTGTCCATCTGTCTTTTCTCAAATGGCCCCCATTTAAGCTCTTAAATGTGTTCTGAGTGCCCCTTCCACTAAGAATATTCTGGGTAATGTTATGATTTTTCCCCCAGCTACAATTACCCCGGCTCCAGGACTAACGGCTTGAAATGCTGTCGTCTGTGAGCCAGGAGAAATGTGAGTTACAGGCTTTTTGGAAATTCCAGGCCCCTAGCCTGCAAGAGGATGGGCTCTTGTGTCTCAGCAGGTTGCTTTTAAATAAGAGCCAGTTGGAGTGGGTCTTCCATCTAGGTGCAGAGGAAAGGCTATGGCTGTACAACTGTGGAAGACACTGTTCAAGAGTGTGCCCAGAAGAGTCTCAAAGGGAGCATTGGAGAGTTTAGAGTTCAAGGTCATACTCTCAAGTTCTTGCCCACTATGGAGGAACTAAACCTAATTTACAAGTAAAGAGTAGCAGTGCTGTGACACCCTTTAGTCTTTACCACTGTCCCTGATCTGGTGAGAGGTTTGTGGACTTTTTCTTTTTTTTTTTTTTTTTGATATGTGGGGCTTGCTGTGTTACTGAGGTGATATCTAACTCTTGGTCTCAAGTGATCCTCCTGCCTCCGTCTCCCAGGAACTACAGGTGTGCATCACTGCACCTGGAACAATTTTCTTAAATGCATGTGTGTTCCTGAGCAGAAGGAACAGAAATCACTTCATGTCTATTTTCCTAGAGGATCCCCTGCAAAGCTCCAGCAGGTGCCATAAAGGCAGACAGCAGGCCCTCTTCCCCACAGATTCCACAGGCCTGGACAGGGCAAGGAAAGGAGTGTGAGGTATGGGTCCTGATGGAGGAGGGAGTGGTCAATTCTCCTTTTGTGGCGGAGGTGCAAGAATTTATCCTTTTTTTGTTGAATAAGCATGGGGTTGAGTGCTGGGACACTGTTTTAAGTGCTGAGAAACCAGGGGAGAATAAGGCAGAAAAGACACTTCCCTTCTTAGAGCTAAAGTTCCAGAGTTGACTCTAGACTTAAGCACATTAAAACTAAATAAAATTTAAATGTAGCCCCTCAGTCACACTAGCCACATTTCTAACACTCAGGCCATTTTGGCTCATGACCACCTTGTTGAACAAGCCAAATACAAAACGTTTGCATCCTCACAGAAAGTTTGCCTGGCAGCACTATTTCCCAAGCATGAACGAGGGAGGTTCCGAAACAAAGGCGGCAGGCATATCCACCTGTGCTCAGGAGGAAAGGGGTGTTGACTGACTTGTGTGCCCAGCCCAGTGTGACTGCAAGCTGGTGCTGGTCCTGGAGCAGCTGGGGGGTCTTTGACCCCATTTGTGCAAAGTGTCCACAAACTCTGTTGAGCAGGGAGGTGAGAGTGTCAGCTTGGAAAGGAACGCTTCTAAGGCTCCTGCTCTGGTGGTCAGGCCTAACTGCTGCCTGGAGCCCCATGAGAGACCATGTACAGGCCCTCTTTTCCCACCACGATCTGTGTCGACCAGTTCTGAGAAAGCTGGGATCTCTGTCCGAGGGTAGCTTACTTGAGATCCAGTCTCCACATAACTTGCTGTTAAGGTACCTAGTGGAACATTAGTTATCAGGAAGAAACGTCTGTGCACAGAGTTTACTAAAATGGGGGTTCGGAGATAACAGTAATACCTTTTTCCCCTTAGCATCAATCACACATCAAAAGGGTCTTTGGAGTTCCCAGTGGTATGAAGACTCTCCGTCCACAGAGAAGGCCAGGCAGGGCGGCATGTGTTTCCGGTGACGAAGACATAGCAGTGTTTGTACTCAAGAGTATAAAGGCTTTTCCCCGGTTCCATCCTGGCGTCTTCTCCTTTTGTTCCTGTCTTTTCAATTGTTTCTTTGAGCACCCAGCCCTGTGAACTCTACCTGCAGGAACTAATGAGGAGACCTTTTCCTTATAACCTCTTTCAGTCCTCTGGGTTGTAAATGCTTTCCTGATGTGGCAAGAACTGTAGCAAGTCTTCGGGCTGGAGAAGAAGCTGGTTCTCATTACTTCACAGTATTACGTGTGCACAGCCTGGGGGGTTGGGAAAGCAACCCTCTGTCTACCTGGAGAGCTTGGGGCTCAGGTGCTCCAGTGCAATCAGTGTTTTCCAGTGGGTCTAGGCCTCTTTCCTGCTTCAATAACTGACAGCTGTCTTCTTATTACAAAGAAGGTCTTTGAAACACTTTACCACAGAGTAGAGGGGCCTCTGTTGATTTTGATGGTGAGCAAACAAAATGGGTACTTAGAGGAAGGAAAGAACCAGCATTGGTTGGGCACTTACTGTAGGCCAGGCTGTGGCCTAGGCTGTGATCATCCTTGTCCTGGTTCTTCATTCCCTGTGGGTAGCAAATAATGCCCTCATTTTATACATGAGGAAGTGAGACTCAGAACTTGCCAGTATTACACAGCTGATGGGGTCGGGGGGGTGGGGCAGGGATGACACCTGCTTCTGAGCCCTTTCTCTGCTATCCTCCAGAAAGCCTTCCTTTTTGCTGGAGCTGGAATCTGGCTATTGGCACTGCTTTTGGCTCTGAAATTTCAGGCATCTGGGGCTTAGGTTTACTGCTCACAGGCCGTTTCTCCCTGGGATGATTCATGTGACTTCTTCCTTTTCCTCTCCCTCCAGGTCACCATGGAGTAACAAGTATGACCCTCCTTTGGAAGATGGGGCCATGCCGTCTGCTCGGCTGAGAAAGCTGGAGGTGGAAGCCAACAATGCCTTTGACCAGTACCGAGACCTGTGAGTTGCTCACCCCCTCAGACTGTAGCTCTCATTGTTTTAATAGGAACATCCCAAGTGAGAGTGTGACCAGGCCACATAGTCTCCCTTCACATTATTGCCTGCGTCCCTCTACTACTATTCTGCATCACAATTCATAATAGTAGTAGGCACTATTGGGATAAACCTACTGTGTGGAAGACACAGCACCAGGTATTTTTCATCCCTGTAGTCTTACAGCCTCTCAAACGTACTAAGTATTTTAGTTCTTTTTTTTATTTTTTTAATCTTTTCTTTTTTGATGCTGGGATCGAACCCAGGACTTCGTGCATGCTAGGCAAGCGCTTTACCACTGAGCTACATCTCAGCCCTTTTGTTCCTATTTTTTTTCAGATGAAGACATTAAGGTTCCAAAAGATTAGTGTTTGCCCAAGGCAAGTGGCAGATCCAGGACTGGAAGTGTGGCTCAAGTGTTCAAGCATTTGCTTGCAAGCCCCTGAACTCACTCCCCAGTACCATCAAAGAGAACAGTCAAACTCCCTCTTGAATTTTGAGGTGGATAGGATTTGGCCCTTGGCCCTTAGCCTGTAGTTGGGGCACCCTCAGTCTAGGATGTAGGCAAGAAAATGGAAGTAAGAGGAACAAAGCATTTGAGCAGCTGAACCCCTGGTCAGCAAAGAGGCCCAGGTCGCACCGTGCAGCCTGTGGACTGGCTTTCCAGCTCCCGATGGTTTGCTGCCACACATACAGTAAAAGATGTCTTCAGAGGCTAGCTTGGAAGGAAGAGGGAGCTTCTCAGTCTGACACATGGACAGATAAAACCCACAGAGCATATGTTGTTCACAGGGAGCTACTAGTAAATGGCCTGAATACTTCAGTAGCCCCTCATATCACTGAGTGACACAGCTTTATCCTCAGTGTCTTATCACATAGCAAGATTTTATATACAGTGTCTTCAATTAGTTCTTACAAGAACTCCTAGGGAGATGGTTTGGTCCCTTATTTTAAGTTGAAGAGACTGAGGCTTCATGAGGTTCAGTGACTCGTACATACCACAGGGCAGAGAGGCATAGAGCAAGGATTGGAATCTGTGTTTGCTGAAAATTCTATAAATAGTTGATTTTCACAGTTCATATGGGTTTCGGTGTCTAGGGTTCTTGCCCCTCGAACTTTGCCCTATTGTGGGCGAGCCCCTTCCTCGGTGATGCTTAGAAGTTGACTCATTGCTCTATCGTAGTTTATTTGTGTTGTTTTTCACTGTCTTCTCTTACCTGACCATGAGAAATAACTACAAATAAACCACTTAATTCAAGCATGCTCCAGTGAAATCCGTTTCATATTTCAGTAATAATACTGGTGACCGTGGAGTGTGCCCCACTGTCTTCTCTATCTCATTTAATATTTAAAATGACCCTGTGAGAGAGGGTCATCACTTTGATAGAAGGTAAAGTGACTCAACCTAGTTTATGAGCCAGTACATGGTGGAACCAGGGTATAAAACCATCCTTATCCAACTCCAGAGTCCAAAATACATTGGAGGCATGTGGTACCTGTTGTGAGCCTTGTGCTCACAAAAACTGTGGGCATGGCCTCTTACACAGGCAGCAAGGTCTCTGCCCTCACTGGACTTCCACACTGGAAAAGAACCAATGACGGATAGTTCAGTCAGCCAAGTAAATTAAGTCAATCTGGTGGATGACAGGATAGAAGTGACTCGCCTCTCTCAGTACAGGGTCAGGAAGGCCTTTCAGGGAGGTGACACTAATGGTTGAGGACTGTTATCTGAAGGGGACAGCCAGGCAGAGGGGCTGGTGGTACCCCTGGATGTGTGCATTCGCTCTGTCAGCCTGCAGGCACTACCCTCAGTCTCTGTGAAATCGGAAGTAGATTTGAAAAGGACCTGGCTTATTTAGCCTCCTTCACAGCTTCAAAAATTACTTATGAGCCTTCTCAGAATACCGTAGGAAGACACCTGCCCTCCAGCTATGGGTGAGGTAGGAAGGAGAAGTCAAGTCCCCTTTTTGAAGTGATGGTCGGTGTCCACACACGGAAGACGAGCTGCTATGTGGGGCTTCTGCCAAGCCCAAGGAGGCTGCTGGCCTTGCTCTCTTCGAAGGCTGCATTCTGTATTTTTGTTTGTTTTTTAATTGGGCTGCATGTTTAGATTTGGTGGGGAGGTTGGTTCTGATTTTTTATAGATTTAAACATTTGGGTTGTTTTCCTCAATAAAGTGACTTAGTCATGTTGCTTTGTGCTGCCATTTAGGGGCAGGCCTGGGAAGAATCCAGTTTCATCTTTGACTTCTCCTCTTTCTCTTTCCCACACATAAGGGCACAGAGTGTGTGCCTTCCAGGAGGCTTGATTGCTGTTATTGTGAGCCTTTCCCCATCGTCATTAAGTATTCTTCAGAATAATCCCTAACCCCTTACAGTAACTCATGTCAGCTACATGGGGGCTACTGGCCCAACAGATGGTGGTTAATACAGCCTGAAGATAGCTGGCGCAAGGGGTTCAACCCTGACCCTTCAGTCAGCCTCCTGAAGAGGTTTCTCATGCCTGGGAAAATGCTCATCTTAAGTCTCAACAACCTATATCTGTGTGCCTGCATTCTCTGAAGGTGGGTTCACCTGGGGACATGAGGGATGATAGGATGGTCCCTGTCCCCAGGTGAGGATTGCACTGTATCCCTGAGCCCTGAAGTTTTGGATCAGTGTATAATGTCCCAGGCAGATCAGTATGCCACTCAACAGGAGGAAGGAGGGCAGGAGAGTCTAGGCCCCCGTGGCTCCCACAAAGTAGTGCAGAAAGGCCCTTCATTCCCTTGCTTGTGTGGAACAGCAAAACCAGCTTCTCCTTTCATAATGGACCACAGACCACCAGAGGGACTGTGCTTGGATGTGATTTGTGCAACACCAGAGTGGTGAATTTCACACCCAAAGATGTCAGTGTACTAACACGCATCCAAGACTGTGTGAGGAGCTTCTCCCCAGCTTACCACTTGGGATCAAATCCCCACTTCTGGACTGAAAATTAGGAAAACCATCTCCTTTTTTGGTTTTTTTTTTTCTTTTCTTATTTTTTAACTGCTTGGTGTACTGTTCCCCCTCCAGAAGTTGCCATTCTCAGACTACCCTCGAGGCTTGTTGACAGGCATACTGGTCTTCCTGGGGGGTGGGGGTAGGGAGCTGGAATCTGAACTCTGTCCCTGATTTTGACCCAGAGGCCTTGTCCCTTGAGTGGCACTAGCTGATAAGCAGTTACAGTAGGTTTTCTAGATTGTTCTCTGGGGTCGAGGGGCAACAGGTCATTCCTTTCTTTGTCCTTTATCCCTGCCCTTCCCCACCATTGACGCATGCCCATGGAAAGATCCTTTATTGTCACCCTTGTGAATGAAGCCATAGGAGTTCATGCAGACTCAGGCAGAGAGGTCCCTCTATGGGAGGAAGCATACAGTCTGACCCTGCCTCAGGCCTGCTGGTCTGCTGCATTGAGGGCCCTGGAAGGTGGCCTGAGTCCCAGGCCTGCTGGGAGATGCCTGGATGCTCAGGCAGACCCACCCCGCAAGAAAGAAGAGCCACCATCTCCAAAGCAGAACAGATATCACATTGTGCCCAGGAGGACTGGGTAAGCAAGATTGCAACCCAGGGCATGTTCCACACTGGAGCTGGCCTGCATCCCACTGATTGGGCACATGAAGAGCAGACCCACTCCTGTGTTGGCCTGTTTTTGACTTTCGTGATCACCAGTGTTTCAGAATTCTTGGATCCTGGTGGATCACAGAGTTATGACTGTGGTTGGCTTGTGCTCAGGCCTCTCGACCACACATCAAATTACTGAAACTGCCAGGCTCTGGCCACATCAAGGTCACAGTCCTCATGGGGACCATTGGGCTGCCGTGAACTGTGAGGGAGCTTCATGTTTATGGCCCAAATCTCCCTCTCTGCTGGGAAGGCCAGCCTGGACTTGCTCACACAGAGATACTACACATACCCAGGGGTCTGAGAGAGACACCCTGACCTGTTGCCTGTGGGAATGTGTGTCCTTGCAGTGGCAACATGGGTGCACAGGTTTGAGTAAAGCCCCTTGCTGCCCTCTTTGTTTGCTTGCTATAAGGCCTAGAGCCTTGCCATCACTCCCTGAAGTTCTTCTAAAAGATAAATAGAAGAAGATGGTAGTGAGTGCCAGATCCAGAACTGAAATGTGTTCCAGCCAGGTCACCTCAGCCCACACTGGCCCTCCCATAGATGGGAAGTACTCAGTCTCGGAGGGTTTTTTGCCATGAGAGAGAAAATCCTTGTCATGAGGTCCTGGGGGGAAAGACCTGATTCTATCTTCAGGCCCTGGCTTTGATCCTCAGTCTGTGAAGGCTTTGACTTTGCAGGAGCTGGAGTTAATCACCCGCACGTGGAGTCAGTCTGGCCAGGGTGGCTGACGCACAGGCCCTCTGGCTCCTGTGGGGATGTGGCACCCCACCCCTGCCTGTGCACAGCATTTCCCAATTATGGACTAAAGGCCAGTGGTTGAGAGTGTGGATCTTTCCCCAAGGAGGATAGGTGGTGAGTCGGGGCCCTGGAAGCAGAGCTGGGTGTCCTATGTGGTTCCCTTTGAAGTGCCTCAGTTCCTTGCTTCTCCACTCCTTCTGGCTCTCCTGCTGCACCACCACAGGTCCTCCACGTTTACTGGTGACCTTGTTTGCCATCCTCTGCAGAAAGGATCACAGTAGTCCTTTCCTTGGGAGGGGAAGTGTCAAGCAGCTATTGCTAGCAATACCGAAACAGCCCTGTTTTTAGATTAGAAGAATCACTTTGTGGAAATGCCAAGGAGATGACAGGAGCTCTTTGCTAGAATGCTGGCGCTGGGTGAGGGCATCACCTGGTCCCCAGTATCTCTGCTAGTCCCAGGCCCCAAGATGATTTTCTGCCTCTGATTGATGGGCTTGGCTCAGTACAGGGAATAACGTTGGAACTGAGGTGGGGAGTTGGGAAAGGTGGCAGCGAGGGCAAACTTGTGAGCAGCTAGTT